TGGATGGATGAACTGATAGATGGATGAACAGATGGATGGATGAACTGATGGATGGATGGATGGATGAACTGATGGATGGATGGATGGATGGATGGATGGATGGATGGATGGATGGATGGATGGATGGATGGATGGATGGATGGTCCTCTATGAGGGTCTTGACATGTCAAGTGAAGATAAGCTGTGTGTGGGCTGCTGTTATTAGGGCCACGTGTGGCTTGAATGTGACAAAAGACACAGTGTTCAAAGAGACCCTGAGCACGATAACACTTAAACACAATGTGAGCACATGAAGGGTCCTCACCTCCAGGTCGTCCAGAGAGCGAGCCATGCTGAGACGTTTGGACCGTCCGAAGGAGCGCCTGGCCGAAGAACGCTGAGGCAGAGGAGGGAATCCCATGGTCAGTCCACGAAAACGACCACCCTGCACGGAGATTACAAATGTCCATGTGTTACGTTTGGATGCACTAATAATTTACAGTTGAAAAATTGCCAGGTTAAACAAGGAAAAAATTTATTTAAAATAACAAATAACTTAGTAACATAAATGTACAAACCTTACATGCCAACTTTAAGATCACTCATGTTTCTAACTATCTGACTTTAGTGAAAATCAATACCAATAAAATAAACAAAGAAATTGACTAAAAGCACTTTGAAAAACACTTTATAAATGGAAGTCTGTAGTTAATTATGCATCTAATCTAATGCAAAAGATGCAACATACACCTTAAAGAATCAAACATCAAATATATGTTTGAAAATTTATTCAAATCACTCCTCCTATTTACAATTATTTGTTTGGATGAAGAATTTTAAATGTTCTAGGAGTGTCCAGATCCAATATCAACATCGGTCCAATAAAAAAATAATATTGGATTATATCGGCCTGTTTCTAAAATCTCTGATTTCAGCACTCCGATAAAAACAGTCCATCCAGCAGTCCGCTCATGTTTTCTATCCAGCAGTGACTGGGAATAGTTATTTTACACATTAAATGTTTATTGTGTTTTTATTGGATTTATTGAGGCAATTTTTCAGGGTTTTCTATTTTATTATCTATTTATTGTATTTAACTGCAAAACATTATGTTTAGCTAAAACAAAATCTGTAACCCTTTGGGTAACAATAAACGGGACCACTTTTTCTCATTCCTGCTGTTGACTACTGTTTACTGTTTGATTTGATCTTTGTAAGAGTCCACACCACAAAAAAAGTAATAAAAATATTTATAATCCGTTCTAATAGCGTATCGGGTCGATATAGTTTTCCAATAATCATGCTGCAATATCAGTATCATATCGGAAGTGAAAAAATAATTTCCTAAAATAAATATAGCAAATACACAACCAGGTCACTTACTTCAGGATCCCAAGACACCTGTATGATAGGTCAAAAAATATCAAATTACCCAAGTAATCCTCTTGAGATCTGCACATTTTATTTCATCTAAATGTTACATTCCTCCTGACACACACAGGCATGTACAGTCCTGTGATTTCTGCCTGCAGTGGCAGCTTCTGCTTCAGTCAACCCCCACAGCGGCAACGATATTACTGAGAGACACGGTGACACATGAGAAAATTATCACAAGAATTGTGAAGCATCATCTTTTTTTATTTTTTATTTTTGAGGATATTTAAAGGACCGTGGACCAATCATGTGAAACATGTTAAAACCAGTGCTGTTTAGTATAGTATAGTACAAAGTATAGCAGTATAGGCTAGAGCAGTGGTTCTACAGTGGGGTCCCGAAACATCAAGGTGGGGCCTTAAAAAGATTTTATGAATTAATACATTTAAAAATCAATACAACAATTGCTTGCCTTAGTTGTTACAAAAAAAGAGGTTAGTGAGTTTAAAATGGATTGAATATTGTTATTATAACCTTGTTTATTTGATCAAATACCAATGTTGATCACCCCAAAACAGTTGGGGGCACAGGTCTCTGCTGATGTTTTTTATAGGTCAGAAGCTGGAAGGTTTGGGAACCATTGGGCTAGACCAGGGGTCTGCAACCTTTATAATCAAAAGAACCATTTCTGCTACTTGGCTCACTACTAAAACGTGTCCAGAGCCGCAAAACAAGCCACGACTGCGCTTATCAACTGATGGTCTGTGGGCCTTTTCAAGGCCTTTACAGTAATCTTTACGGCCAGTTGAGGCGACATTATAAAACTAAAAAATACATTGAAAATAGTATTATTTATTATTATTTTTACACATCAGGACAAATGAAAAACCAGATTTGTGTAAACAAGAAAAATACTGTATATATTTTATACTATATGTAGTCTTCAAATTCTTTAAAGGTAATTCTGATGGATTTGAGAGAGAAGTTGGATTATTTAAGTAAACAGACTAGCATGAGCTAACATGTTTTACTTTTTGTATTATTGATCACATGTTTGTATACAAATTGATTTCTGTTGTGGGTATAAAAACAAAAAGAAAAAAATTCTCTTACGTTTGGCCACATTTTCAAAGATTCACTGCAGACGGACCAAAGAGTCACATGTGGCCCCAGAGCCGCAAGTTGCAGACCCCTGCACTATTATGTGTGACTTTTAGCCTAGCCGCTAGATTAAAGATCAATTATCCATGTCTGAATACGGAGGTGCACGGTATATAAACACTTAAATATTTAAAGAATTATGAGAAGAAAAAGCTACATTGTAAAGTTTTATGTTATCAGCGTTACAGATGCAGGTAACTCTGGTTGGACTAAGCAGATAAAGTCCTCATTACTTAAAGTGCAGTTGTGTTCTGGTCTGCCTGGAATAACTGCAGGACGTGGTCATTTTATTAAAGGTAGAAATAGTGTGCAGGGCTGGCTTTTTGCCAAAGCTAACACTTGACCAGGCCTGGTGGGAGGTTCATTAAAGCACACTTTTTCTACTGTTTGTACAAATTGCTTGTTTGTTTTGCCTTTTTTTTTTGTATGTTTTTTTTCCAAAATAAAGCTACATGGTATACAGCACACAAAAGGCAGTAATAATGTGTGGGTTTGACATGTAAAAGGCATGAAACATGTAGCATCCAGAAATAGGGGGTGCACGAAAAAAATCGATTCACATCAGAATCGTGATTCTCATTTACAAAGATTCAGAATCGATTTAAAATGTGCTAAAATTGATTTTTTTTTTTAAATAAACAAAATAAAGCAAATCCCAAGGCTGTCAGGCTCCACTGTGGGACGTCCTGATGTCACCTCGCAGCTGGTTCTGGAAGGTATGCTTGTGCAGAAAGCACCAAAACAAAAAAGGAAACTACAAAACTGGAGGAAAGAGAGAATCAGCTGGCCCAGTCTGCATTGAATGAAAAGATTTGGCTCGCTTTGATTTTTATTGAATGAGTGAGTTTGACATGAGTTTCACTGTGTGCAAGGTTTGCAAAACGAAAATGAATCACTTTGGGAACACGACAAATGGACTCACATTATCAGTTTTTAATTTAAAAAAAATCTATTTTGAATCGAATCGTGAGATGGTAAAAGATTCCCACCCCCATCCAGGACGATGACAGCTACAACTCTCCCCTCATGCCGTCAGTCGCCATTACTTAATTCTAGCGCAGCTGGTGGAAACCTGCTGGTTTGTTTTACATTTAAACAAACCCTCGGTGACACGAAGCCATAAACTGCCACCAACAATGAACACGAGAGAAATTTAATCACAGACCCACAAAGATTTATTGCGAAGCCATCAGACGATGATGTCATCACGCTGAGTGCTGCCATAAATTCTGGGAGAATTAAGGTAGCGATGCACTCAGGAGTTTATAACACGCCGCCTGACAACTGTTGCTCTTTCAGGACGCAGAAACGACCTGCCTCCTCTCCCTCAACTCGTACAGATGACATCTGGCCCTTTTTACTGCAGGAGGCGGCGAACGTGAGTGAGTGGACCCCAGGTGACGGCGGCTGATGTGTAATTAAATGATGCTGACGGGCTCGAGAGGACAAACACGAGATGAATCTGAGCGGCGCTTTCAGAGATCCACTGCATTTCATCAGGCGGAGCCAGTGGTGTTGCCTGGATACTGAGTCAGCTGTGTGTGTGTGTGTGTGTTTCCCTGTGCATTTCTGTTTGCACATCAGGTAATAAAGATTGATCAGAAGTGTGGACACAAACACATGACCTCTCTTTGACACGGTCAGTTTAAAACCTGTCCTCGATAACGAAGTTTTAAACCATGGTCAGCGAGTCCAACTACACCACAGCTCTTTTAGTAGTAAACTCCTGACTCTTATCTGTTCAGCTGATCCTCTTCCTCCTCAAATACACACACACACATACAAAACACACGTACCATTAACATCACATAAAAAACAGCTTTCCTGTTTACAACAACACAACTAATCTAAAAGCCAGACATAAACACACAAAGACCCTTTTCGAAATGAACAGTAAAAAAATCCTTGTATCAGGGGCTAAAATATGAACTAAAACCCAAAACAACAAACGTTATCCACAAATTCAATGTTCTGCTTTTTGATTAGGAACAAAACAGAAAACCAAAAAGCAACTAATAGACCATATTTTTCAAAATAGAAAACGTCTCCAAATGATTCACCAACAATTAGCAGAACTGACAGTATTTTTTTTCCATTTACACTTCAGCATTTAAATAAGAGGAATAAAAATACCAACAAGTGATTGACACCCTGAGCCGCAGCTGTTCAATCATCTTAAGTTCGTCAGGATTAAACTTTGGGATTCTGTCACGTAAACTTTTACACAAACCGGGACTTCCTGATGTTTTCAATCAATCATTTATAGGTGTTTTATTAGTACTGGCCAGGTTTCAAAAGTCTTATTTTATGAAAACCTGATGGATAACGGTGAGGGCGCCAGGGCTTTGCAGAGGAAGTGAAACAGCGCCACCATGTGCCAAATAACAAGAGCAATTCATGACAACATCTCCAAACGTTGCAAAAAAAAAATCAATATAAATTAAACTAATGTGATTATTCCATAATTAAGTCAGGAGAATGGTAAGCCTTTGCTGAAGCTGAAACAAGATTTGAACCTGTTCACAGAAAAACAAAGCTCAACAATTGCTTTTAAATCCATTCAGTCTGTGGACATTGTTCATAAAGGTTAGCGTCCAACTTCCTGTCACTGTCAGTCTCCTTATTTTGGTATTCTAAACACTTCCTCTGATTGTCCCGTGTCCTGGGACCCCTGTCCACCTTACAGCGAGAAGCTGGAGCTTCTACCAGTTTCAAAGAAACCATCCTTGGATTCTACCCTCCATGTAAACAAAAACTGAGCTGATGCAGATGTTTGGCTTTTTTCTTACACTCAACAATCCTGGTAACAAATAAGTCCATCTTTCAGTTTAAAGATTTCACTGTGTGTAGCAGGACGCAGTAAGTCATTAAGCAGACCGTGAGCTCTGCGGTAGACCAACACACGTTAGAGTCAAACGTGAAGATACTGGGTTTTAGCTGAGGCTTGGTCCAAACGGCTCAAAAACAGGACAATGGTGCCAAACACAGCAGCAAATCTACAACAGAACGGCTAAACTAAAAAATAAACATTTTTTGGTAGATTTTAAGAGATTTGCATAAATAAACAGCAACCTAAATGAAAGGAAGCAATGCTGTAATTGTAACAACACAAGACATTGATGAAGTCAAAGATTTAAGTTTTAGACTTTGTTAAAGGCTCTGTCACACTATGATGTTTAAACCAACTTAAGAAAATTTTAAGACAAATACGATGAAGGAATTAAAAGCCTCTTTTAGGTGTGTAAATACTGTAACGCTAACAAATTAATCACATAAAAAACTTATTGGTAATTTAGACATAAAAATGTTACATAAATTGGCATAAGTTGTCTAAAATATGTGACAGGGCCTTTGAATATCAAAAAGCCTAAACCTGTCATCAGACAACTATGTGCTCATTTATAAAACTTTAATAAAAGTACAATTTACTAGATGTTACCATCACGTTGCATGTAAACATTTTGACAGAGCATCTCAAAATGCAGACTGTAGATGGCTGAAATATAATCCAGTCAGGCTAAAAATGTCTTTGTTTCTCTGCATCTTGTTCCTGTTGTTAATAACAAAGCAGGTTTTTAGTGTCCCTCATTTAAATGTAAATGTATTTGTGTAAAATATTTAAGAGAAATAATAAGCTGAGTGAATCTGCACCACGGACAACGTGAGTCTCATTAAGGTGGAAACAGGTGGTTTTCAGGTGAAGGCAGATGTCTGGTTAATGCATAATATATGATCTGATACTTTTACCAAGTCTGAGTAATGAGCCAGCTGGACTGCTCACATTATTCATAGTACGAACTCAGGTAAGCATAGTTTATAAACATTTATTTAACCTAGGGGAAAATACATTTAAGATAAGATAAGATAAGATAAGATAAGATAAGATAAGATAAGATAAGATAAGATAAGATAAGATAAGATAAGATAAGATAAGATGTTCCATCATACATTATATAATATGCAGTGAGATAAGTTATTGCATCTCCATCCAAAACATCATCTACGCACTCGAGGATTTATAGTTTCAATAACCCGTGCTCTTGGACTCTCTCTAGTCAAAGTGAATTTCCACAGCAGGAATGTGTGATGTGGGGGGCAACCTGCTGTAGGGGCTTCTCAGCTCCGAGTCATTTTTAACACAACTCTCTCACAGTACACAAACAGACGCCCTTTTCCAGTGTTCTTAGAAAAGTTGATACAGTTAGTTTAATATTAAGGAGGAGCACAAACTCAACATTAGAATAAAAAAACCCTGAATATGTTAAAGTCCTACCTTTTTCTCTCCCTCCTTTAAGTTTCCTTCGACCTTCCCTTCTCGCTTCCTCTCCTTTTCACTTCTGCGTGCTCCGGTGCGCTCCCGGTCACCAAACAGCTTCTTAGCCCACTCATCTTTCTGCACGGTCAGCCGGTGGGTGTGGGGATGCGTAGGAGGAGGCTGGCTCCCAGCAGGTTTCTGCAGGTGGTCCCCAGGGGCCAACGGGGCCCGATAGCGGTCGGCCGGGATCTTATTCATGGGCGGGGGCAGGGTGCTGCAGTTGGCTGAGGACCACCCGTCCGTGGACTCGGCGTAGGACTCCTGATCGCTGCTCAGACCCTGGAAGTGGCTGTGGTGGTGCTGCTGACGCCAGTCTCTCAGCACATGGACGGGCAGCCACCTCTGTGGCTCCGCCCCCGCTGCTCCACCTCCTCTCCTTTCTCCTCCCAGCTTCCCCGACGACGAGTAGTGGTGTGGGTGGAGCCCTCGAGACAGCCTGCCGGGGCAGTCGGGGTGAGCCAAGGGGAGAGGGTGAGGGAGGTCGGCGAGGTGCGCGTCGTGAAGGTAGTGGCCGTTCCTCAGCATCGGAGGAGGCGGGGGAAGAGGAGGAGGAGGAGGGTGGGCGGCGGCCGAGGCTCCCAGCGTGGGGCTCCACGCCTGCTGGGACGAAGGCGGGCTGTCCCAGTGCCGCGTCCCGGACGTGTGGTTGTGACTGGGAGGACCGCCGAGGTCGACCAAGAGCACCCGGTTGCTCTTCTCTTCGGGTAAAAAGTTGCCGATCCCACTATCGCTGTTGCTGCTGGTGCTGTGGTTCTGCTGGGCGTCGTTGTCCGGGTCGTGGAACGCGCGTGCTCGCACTCCCTCGATATTGTCTCCCATGTCCCGGTAGAGGACAGAGACAAACTGGAGGAGAGGCTGAGAACTGGGGGGGAATTCCAGGCAGCCTCCTGTGTCTGGGTCAGGGGTACACTCAAAGCCAAACCTCCTGGCGACGCCCAGATGGACCTGGAGACAGAACAAATGCAGGTGATAAAACATGTCTGACCAGCATACTTACAAGACTTAAAACGTCCAATCTTTGTAAATACTGTGCTGCACAGTCCCTCTATGGGATCAATCTTGTGCCAGCAGGAATTGAATTTGAATTGCTCAGATTGAATCTGAATGTGCAGAATTTGAAATTGAATACATTGGTTTGAAAATAAATTTCACTAATTTGAAACTGAATTTAAAGTTTTGTATCTGAATTAATTTKCTTTGAAACTGTATTTTGGTTTATTAAAAATTCAGTTTGACTACTTTCACTTTCAGTTCCATAATTCAGATTTTTGTGTCACATCCTGGTCCTTGAGAAAGCCAGGCAGAGTAATCAAACACAGATCCACAGATTTATGTTTCACTTTGGTGAAGTTTCCCTTCTGTATGTAACAGAGTTGATGCAATCCACTGTAAAAGTGACAAAAACGGTTATTTTATTGCAGTGATTAATTTGACCTATATGTAGAAAATGTTACATTTACATCACATCATGGATCAGTCAGCAGCAGCATCTGATCAATATGTGATCCATGATGTGATGTAAATGTAACATTTTCTACATATAGGTCAAATTAATCACTGTAATAAAATAACTTTGTCTGTTTTTGTCACTTTTACAGTGGATTGCATCAACTCTGTTACATCCAGAAGGGAAACTTCACCAAAGTGAAACATAAATCTGTGGATCTGTGTTTGATTACTCTGCCTGGCTTTCTCAAGGACCAGGATGTGACACAAAAATCTGAATTATGGAACTGAAAGTGAAAGTAGTCAAACAGAATTTTTAATAAACCAAAATACAGTTTCAAAGCAAATTAATTCAGATACAAAACTTTAAATTCAGTTTCAATTTAGTGAAATTTATTTTCAAACCAATGCATTCATTTTCAAATTATGCACATTCAGATTCAATCTGAGCGATTCATTTTCAGTTCCTGCTGGCACAAGATTGATCCCGTATCCCTCTATGTTTTCACCTGGTGTTGACAAAGCTCTGGATCCACAATGAACACGTGACAGGAAGTCCTCAGACCCCCTTCCTCATCTTGCCCGTTGCTGAAGTGATGGTCGTCGTAGTCGTCGGAGGCCTGCATGGTGACCAGCCCGAAGAACCGCCGGTCGTCAGGACAGCAGGCGCTGAAAGCCAGTTTTTCTGCAGGATAAGTGGCCAAGACGTGACCCCTGTCGCTGCACAGGCGCACGCTGTCATGCATGACCTGGATGGACATAATTAATGCATGTTATCACCTGCAACCAGGAGACTAATGAAGCCATAGCAACTACCTGACACTGCTGGAAAACAGTGGAGCACATGCTGTTTATATTGAGCACTTATTGCAAATTATTCGTAGTTTCCACAGTAATACAAACACGTGAATTAAGTGAAGCCTAATGAGACAACAATTAAAAAAGAAAAACTGTGATGATAAAATAAGAAGGTTCAGTCTGACCTTCATAAGGACCAACGAATGGATCTTTTGCTCGGCTCTCAGGCGCCTCATGCTCCCTCTGATGGCCTGCAGGCTGTCACTCTCCAGGTTGGTGCCTGTGGAAGCCAGCTCAATGGAGCCAAGGTAGCCAACTATCATCCCCACATTGAGGATCCCCTCACCGGGCTCGAGCACAAAGTCGCCCCCTTCTTCCACATCCAAGTCCTGCTCCTCCTGATGGTGAAGGTGAAGGTGGCGAACGTCCGGCTCCAGAAAGACCGAGTCATCGTTCAGAACCTGGGCCATCTCCTCCTCGGAGAGAAGGTTGGGGTTGCTCTGGGAACGGGACGGGTTTCGATACGGGAAGAACTCCGGGTCAGACACGGGGCGGGGCTTTGAGGACGAGCTGAGCCCGGGCCGGTCTTTGTCCGAGCTGCTGGAGGAGTGGCTGGAGTTCTCAAAGATCATGTTAAAGATGCCGCCGGACTGCAGCTCCGCCACCACTCTCTCCGCTCTGTTGATGCCCAGCTGTTTCGAATCCACTTTGGGTTTACACCAGCCTCCGCGAGCCCCAGACCTGCTGTTGTTGTTGTTGTTGATGACACTGCTGTCATAGAAACCGTCCAGCTCATCCTCACTGGAGCAGGAGTCCAGGTAAGCCGCTGCTGCCACTGCACTGAGGCTGTGGTGGCGGCTGACCGTGGAGCGTTGGTGGTGGCGCCGGCGATGCTCCGCCTCGGCGATGACGAGCTTCAGAACGCCCGAGCACCGTCCGATCAGTTTGACAACATCTTCGTGTGACGCCTTGGAGACATTAATGTCGTTGACAGAGAGGATGTAGTCTCCTGAGCGCAGCCCCACATAGTCCGCTGGACTTCCTTTTAAGATGCAGCTGAGGACACAGGGGCTCTGGCCGGTCAGTGTAAAGCCATACCCCGTCCTCCCTCTCGCCACCTCTACAGCTTTAATACGCCCATACGGTGCAGGGGGTGGGGGAGGGAAATTTAGCCCACCTCCAACACAGGGGCGCCTCTTGGACAATGAGTCCAAGTGCCTGGACATTGTCCCGGGAAACCTCTTTTTTTCCATTTATTAGATCGATTTTATCTCGTCATTTGTCGGGCTTCTTCGGAAAGAGGAGCGGCGCAGAATGCAGCACATGGGTGAGAACAGGGGTTCGAGTTTTAGCACGACTCCGCTAGTGGCTCCATCCTGGTGTCCGCCTTACATCAATCAAGATACCTGAGTCACAAAAAATACACATGAATCAGTTATGAAATGATTTCCATTAAATCACGTTGTTCTCTGCTTTTAGATACCATTAAACACTATTACATGCATGCATTATATCATCAAACATGCAGCATTTTATTTAGAGAATGTTTACATTATCATGCAGGGGGAGGGGCCAGACACACCTGTGCAGCTGTCCAGGTACATTTGCAAAAACGTGACCAAAAAAACTGCAGTGACTTTCAGTTTCTATTTATAAAAACATAAGCCCGTGACATTAATTTAGTTTAAACCTTTTTTGTTGTTTGTAAGTTTAAGTTTTTGCAAAGTAAGAAAAGATACGCTGACGTAGTACCGGGCGTTAGCTGGTTAGCTCAGCATGCCAACACGCAAAGTTAACATTAGTTGCATGCAGTGATAACTGGTGAGAAAAATTACCCAACATGTTTTTACCACTTTGCACCGACAAATGAGTGTATTTAAGTTACTTCGTTTTAAGGAGGTAAAAGTTTTCTCGCCGTGAGTTGCTGTTTAACTGCGCACCCACCCATGCTGACGCTATAGTCCCGCCCCTCGGGGTCCACATCTTTGGAATGTCGGTCTGTAACCGCGGCAACGGCGGTGTACACATGTTTTTTATCCCTCGTGATTGGCTAACCCCGGCTGTCAATCAGGCGGCTAGTCGGAAAGCTAGCCTGACAAATCACTGGTTCAAACTTCTGACGGGAACTAGTTTCACAGGTGTCAAAAAGTGCATCAAGTTGAGCTCATCTTAACTAGTGCGCGTGTTATATCATATAGAGACAAGTAAATATTTTTCTACATATATATATTTACAAGCACGCGCTGAGAAAGAAACTTAAAGAAGCGACAACTTGAAATATATGAGTTGTAAAAAAAAAAAAAAAAAAGGGAAAAGCTGAGATGGCCATATAAGAGGTGGATGGATGTCTTTTTAATGTTCCCACAACGATGTTTTCACCACCGAAGCTCGCTCAGCCGGAGTTAAAAGATGACTTACTTGGTGTGGAGGCGACGCTGCTGCTCGGGAGGATGCCTTCATGGTTTGGTCGCTAAGATCTGCAGAGTGACTCAGGGGCGAAGGGTAAACAAAAGAAAAGACTGCACCATCTGGAGGAGGAGGAGGAGGAGGAGTGGGCCAGAGGAGGTGTGTTTAGAGTGGGCAGTGCAAACATGGGATCCCCTAAAGCTGGATTAAAACAGAAAAGTCACATAGAAGTGCATGTTTTGTATTTGAGTCAGAGATCATTTTCTAACTTATCAATCAGAGCTGTTCACTAGTTAATTTAAAAAAAAAGGATTAAGACATATGGCCCAACCATAGAGAGGGATGTTTCTGAAAATTTGTCCTGGACTGCCTTTAAAATAAAAGGTAGAAGTTATTGTAAACATGTATGGTTCCTAAATATTTTATATATTTATATTTGAGATGTTTTTTTTACCTAAAAATGCCATTTCCTGTTTGTTTTTCTATAAGTTAATTGTAATCATTTCTGCACACAGGAAATAAATAAGTGCTGAAAAGTCTGATTATTGTAACATTTAAATTCTTCAAAATAGTCACCTTTATTTTCAATTTCTTTAAACTTTTAGTTTATAACTAATCTTTTGATACTTATACCATACAATTTTCTACTTTTTTGCTACTTTTAGCTACAAGTCTTGTGTTCATTTAGCTTTCAGCTTCTTTACCAGTCATTCAGCGTTCACTCTGCATTTTATTTTTCAGATAACGCTCTTTCTCTAATAATCCTACTTTTTTCTTTTAGCAGACATGTTTTTTGACTTTTTAGTGTTATTCTAAAGATTTAAATTTTATATCGTTTAACCTCAGTTAGTTCTGTAATTGCAGGTTTGTGATTCAAAATAAAAAAAATGAACTGAATTATTTTGGCAGTTCATCTTAAGGTTTTTGTAAATCTCTTCGTACATCTTAAACATTTGATAGTCTTTCTAATTTGAGTTATACAACAGCAGCTGACAGGAGTAAATCTTTGGCTCATTAAGAAGCCTCCAGGTGACAGTTCACCCATCAGAAACTTCATGCTGTCAACATTCATGCCTTCACTCCTGCAGAGCGTCATGAAGCAGATGGCAGCTGCCCTCTAATCCTGTTAATACCTTTTAATCAAACCAGCCGTCTTAATGGCTGCTGTAAAACAAGCGTATGTGCTTTCAGCACGGTTTGGTCTACAGGTGATGCAGATTTTATGAGAGAATAAAACTACTCTGTCAGAATTTACACCAACTAATGAGAACATTACTCCTCTAGTTAAAAGTAAAACTTTATTTTTAATACCAGTGATAATCCTGTCACACATCCATCATTGTGGTTCTGATTTATAACTTCACAAAATAAATCAAATCCCACAGGATAAACATCTTTGAATAATTTATTTCTACAGACCATATGCAGTATTTTTTTTTTCAAAATAGTCGAGTTCACTGAAATACACAATCTCTCTCACAGTTATACAAGAAACTAAAAAAAATGTATTGAAATTTTCATTTAGGGTCGACATGAAAACCCAACTTGAAGAAAATGTAAAAGGGGATCATTTCATTCAGTCTTTACTCCACCGATTATTCAAAATGTCAACTAGCAACAATTTGTATAATCTTGGAGGAGAAATGAATGCAAAGAACTAACAATTATATAAAAAATAGTAAAGATTATGGGACATGTCGAAGTAAAACTGTGACAACAGAACTAAAACCACAGAAGGTTTCAGGGTAATCTTATTACCCCCTGCTGGGTGTTCTCTTATAACAGGAGGTGGTAACCAAAATCAAGCTGAAAAGATTTCATCCTCCATCACATTTCTGAAGGTTTTCACTAAATAATGTAGTGCAGAGAAATCCCCCTCCCCGTCCACATCAAACATTCACAAACAAAGAATCTCCTTCAGCAACACCTCACATAGGAATTTATGCAGCAGCTGCAGAGGACGTTTTATTCTGCGTGTTCATCGTTTGAACATAAGCCAAGTTAAACTGTCACTGCTGTAAAGGTTGGAAAGTGGCAACATATTCAAAAACGCTATAAGGTTTTAGTTTTTTAAGTGCAGGACTCTAAGACGAAGGCGTCAAACAACACGTGAAGAACTTCAAGTCTTTTAAGTGCTAAGTGTGTTTAATAGAGATATATTTAAAGCTCAACAAACTGGAGGGAAAAAGCTGATTTCGCCACGCCTCCTCGTCTTGTGTTGATTTGTCGAAGCTGCGGTTGGTCGCCCTTTGGATTGTGTCGCACCTCTTCCACGCAACAGGACCCAGAGAAATGCAGAACTAGACACGAAGCGAGAACCACGGGAGTCGGTGCTGAACATGCTTTCAGTGTGCGGGACGAACATATTCAGTTTTTATCTAAGGCAGGTGTATGTACACAACGCCCGGGCGACTCCAAGTTCAACACGATAAACTTGAAGCTTTCAGACTCGGTTTTTACTTTAGTGAGTGTAAACAAGAGAAAGCAACGTCATGTTTTCTAAAAGTTTTGCTCCTTCGCAAAGTTATTTTCTCATGCACCATGGCTTTCAGGTTACTGTACACTTGGTTTTTACAATATACGAAGGTAGCTCCATTTAAGACTACTTCCAGTTTTTTGACAACAACAAAATGAAGTCCTGAGAATGAAAGAAGTACAAGAAAGGACAGGTGGGAACTTTGGGATGTACTGAACACACAAGTCTGCAAATTAAAAAAAAAAGATAGAAGCAAACGAATCAAGTCTTAAGTAAAAATACTTTGCTACTGGTTATGAAAAAGGCAAATAAAAATTACACTAAATTTAACAATTTTTCATAATCCTGTTTATGGGCTCCTGAACAGTTAAAATGACAAACTTGGCAAAAAAAACTTTATATATATATTTTTAAAACTTGTATATATCTATTTGCTTTTTGTTCTTTTAATGACATCCAGAGAAGTAGCGAGATCTTACACATCTCTTGAAAAGATTAAATTGCTACAGCTATCAGAAATCATTCTTACACGTAAACAATTTCCTTTATTATCGACTGTGTCTGAATGACCACATAATTTAAATATACACAGATTACAAACGTTAAGCAGGCGTTTCTGACCCCTCTGCGCCACAGCCTTTGTCTTTGTCCCAATCAGACACAAAGCCTTTTTTTAACAAAAGCCACTAAAAATAGATGCATGGAGCCTTTAAATATAGTAAACACATCATCTCTAATGGATTTTACTGACATCACAATACTCAAACAAGTCCTCACAGGAAAATAAACAAAGCTGTTTTGTGTTTGACTTAAATGATCTTATTTTGTTGTTTTTTTTTTAAATGAAAAGGTGCAGAGGAGTTCACCGCGGCTGCAGCCAGAGGCAGAGTTTTGTCCTTAACAGAGTTGCTGAATTTTAATTTTTCTATCAGAAACAGACATTTTTTATATTTAACATCTTAAAACTGGACTCTCTGAATTCACCCTGCTGGGATCAGTAGTTGCACACATCAGTGGAAAAAAAGGGGGAAGAGATGAAGCTACAGTAGCTTTTTCCAAAGAACATTTTGTTCTTTCAGTAAATCCCAGTTTATCAGGACAGTGAACACGTAGATCTAATTACTCATCTTATGACATCTCACTGACTTGTCCCCCCCGGCCTCCTCTCTCTTTGCCTTCGTGCCGGTGTCGGGTTGTTGTGTTTAGAGTGACGCATCCTGGTGGATTGATCGCAGGCAGCCCAGCAGCTGGTAATAAGGGCTGCCCGGCGAGGCCACGGTCTCAAACACTGATTGAAAAGCCCTACGCTCCAGCTCCTCGTCGATCTGATGCCGGTAGAAATCCATGGCCACCAGGCAGAACAGGCTGACGTCCACAGTCTCACTGGAGCCCATGCGGCTGATCACATGTGGGAGTCTGGTTAACAGCGAAGGAAGATAAGGACAAAAGACAAACAATACAGTTTGCTTAGCTGTAAAATAAAAACATTTTCTGCAGCTGAGCCTCTACTACAGTCATGTTTGGACTGGGATTCTGCAGGACCAAATAAAGTTTCTGCAGGAGTGTTTCGTTTCATTGTTTCTGGAGACTGTCAACACATGAAGTGTTGTGAGATTAAAACAACTCAAACTTATCAAATTTAAGCAAACACTTGATTCTCGCTCCTTTATTTTGGCACAAATATTTTTCAAAACTGCTTCTTTTCAACAGGATGAGCAGTGAGTTTTAAGTGAAACGTAAATCTGTCAAGTAATAATTAGGGATACAAACAGTTAATCGACTTACGTTTAATTGTTGAATATTGGTTTATTAGATTAAAATCCATTCCAATCGAATAACTGATAACGTCAGCTGGCACATCACATGGTTCATTTAAATCTCTCTAACCAGAAAGATTTGCCTTCAATTTGAGTGAAAAGCAGAGACTTCAACCTTTAAAACAGTTTTTAAAATGTGTTGCAGAGTAGAACCGGAGTTATAATAAATAATATACACCACTTTTTTTTTCTTAAAACGATGGTCCAATTTGATGCGCGTTGCGTCGGGTTGTGCCACAAGCAAAAAAACAAAAACAAAAAAATCAGAAATTCCAAATGTAAATAAATTCTAATTCTAATAATAAATGAATAATAATTTTGCATCTAAAAATATTTTATTATTTTATCAGTTTTCCACCATTCAGCAGCCTAACAGATTTCAGTTTTGTTGTATTTTTTTTAAATTGTCCAGTTTAAAAAATCCACAATTTTTTGTTTATCCAGTCAGTATTTAATACAGCTGGCAAAATAAATTGTTAAAATATATTGATTTGCTTCATTTTATTAAGTCATCATATTATAAAAGATTAACCCTTCAGGCTATGGAAATATCCTGTAATATTTTTTAAGAAAATGGCAGCTTATTAATTATTTGATAGTCGATTGATAAGATCAATCAACTTTAGATTAATTCATTAATCGATAACTTGCATCCCTAGTAATAATTTTCATGTCGCTTTGCTTTATTCGACAATACCTACTACCTAACCCCCCACAAAACATCTAAACAATGCAAAAACAGCTCAGAGTGTCGCAGGTTGGTTCTAAAAACAAAAATAATCTCTTCTGAACTCCACACCACATCATTCAAGGATACAGGGCAGAGATCCACTGGGAGGTGGAAGCAGAGACAAAGAAGCAGGACAGGCTCCACATGGCCATGGCCACCGGTGTCCTCTGAGTGAAGTTGGACAAAGACAGCAGCACCCAGTCTCGCACCATAGAAGACTGGCCCGTGGCGTGGAGTGTCTGAAAGACCTGCAGAGGAAAATGAACGCATCAGAAGAGAGTAATTCAAGAATATATGGAGGTATACTGTAGTTCATTTGGTATAACTAAATATATTTATATATTTGAATATACGTTGGTTGAGGCCTTAAAGACAGAGAAGCTGGCTTTTAGCTTTTGAGTTACCACTCTTGTTCTTTATTTCAGTAATAAAATAAAGTGGTTCACACATTTTTCTGCACTCTTATGAGCTGCTGCTGACCTTGTAGACGACGGTGGCCATGAATTGCGGGTACGGCTGCTGATTGGACAGGAACTCTCCGATGACCTTGTTCATCACGTCCTGTGTAGGGAAGAAGTCATCCAGAAACTGGGGCAGAATCCTGGACACAACTCGGGCCTCGCTGGGTAAACCTTTTCTGATTCTACAGAAGGAAGATAGTAGCGGTAAAAATAAATAAATAAAAAATAGAAACAATAAAAAGGGTTCCTAATTTTCTTTAACACTAAATGGAGGTCAGAAATGGCACCAGGTAACTGTGGATAATATGAAACTACAGCTTAATGAGAGATGTGTGAAGAGGTTTTTACCTGTCGAAGAGGACAGAGACCCTCTCCATGGCAACAATGACGGACTCGCTGTCTGGGGCTTGCGGGTCAGAGTGGGCGGGGCGGCCGGCGGGGCTGGCTTTCTCCTTGCCTGAGGAGAAACCAACATGACCTGCCGTGACGCCAACCGCCTCCGCTACAGCAGAGTCAACCTGACCTCTAACCCCTGTCGCATCTGAACCTGATGCCAGAACCGCTGGGAGGACGAGAAGGATGGGTGGCGCCAGTCGGGCCAGTGGGGTAAAAAAGGTTAGAGTGGGGGTCGGGATACGCATCACATGACTCAGGTTAGAAATTTGTAGACCACATAAAGAAAAAAAATGTGCTTATTTCTGGGAGCTTCTGTTTTTGGGCTTTACTCTAAATGACTGGTGCTGAAAGTAGAGAGACTTAAATGTGCTCCGACCAGAACAAACAGCACAAAAACGCAGAAAGTGTTTGCAAAGGGCCAAGCTCAGAATGTGAAGGCTAACTCTGAGCAAGGAGGGATTATTTATGTCATTAAATTATGAACGACTCTAATGATTACTACAGTTAGTAGGGGCCACTTTAAGGGTTAGAGGTAGGGTATATCAGATACAGTATGACATGCAGGAAGCAAGCAGGCGTACACAATCTATTTAAAAACAATAAAAAAGTACTTATGTTAGTAAGAAAAACAAATGGATGATACAATGGTTCATAATGAGAACCTTTTTAAGAAATGAGAAAATGGTTGAAGGTTACAAAAAAGCAGATTTGTGAATTATACAAAGCAAAACATATGAGTGCGTTTATTTTTAAAACTATTAAGTGTGTGAAAAAAGTTAAAGGGATCCCTGATTAGTTGTAACATTAGACTTTATTTGATAAACATTTATTTTAACTCTAAAATAAAGACTAAAAATACTGTAGGATGTTCAGTTTTGTAAATTTTTAAAAATATATTGTAGCACGGACGGAGCCATTTTATTTACACACAAAGCATTCTGGGTAAATGATGRCGTGGATAGGTCCTCGGTGCGAGGCTGCTAGCGAGCTATATCCACCCTGAAGGTTAATCTTGGACAATATCTGATGATCGACTCTTTTAAATGAAACCAGAGAGCGTTGACAGAGAGGAGAAGGTAGAAATGACTCAGCCTGGAACTGAAAATATGGATGGAGGACAACAGAGCTGCTTCATGGAAGAAGAACCTCAGATTAGCCTGTTAGCTTTTGTGCTAGCGCCAACGCTATATTGGCTTATACAGTATGTATTAGCTCAGTGCTGCGCGACAAGCAAGCTAAACTGAGGTCCTCCATCCATATTTTCAGTTCCAGGCTGAGTCATTTCTACCTTCTCCTCTCTGTCAACGCTCTCTGGTTTCATTTAAAAGTCGATCATCAGATATTGTCCAAGATTAACCTTCAGGGTGGATATAGTTCGCTAGCAGCCTCATGCCGAGGACCTATCCCCGTCATCATTTACCCAGAATGCTTTGCATGCTAATAAAATGGCTCTGTCCGTGTAATATATTTTCAAACTTTTAGTTTAAAAATCATAAAAACTAAAAAGTTTACAGTTAAGTTACAGTTAAAATAAATGTTTATCAAATAAAGTCTAATGTTACAACTAATCATGGATCCCTTTAAAGGGTTAAGCATGTTATGATGATGAATAAATGGGTCACAGGCTTTGGATGGAATAAGTGTTAGAGGTTGTCAGTGCAGATGAGTTAACCAGCCTCACGCTGTAGGAGTTTGATTAGAACAGCAGCACCAGCCATGATGTTGTACACTGTTTGAGCCGACATGCAACACTCCCTGTGAACCCCACTTACCAGTGTACATGCAGGTGAGCATCAGGCCCAGGGCGGCCATGGCTCGGTGTGGTGACGGCATGTTGACTCGGTCCACGCTGAGTTTGACCAGAGCTTCGCTGTCAACGCGGGACAACTGCTCCGACAGCAGGAGGCGCTCCAGTCCTCGCAGCACGCAGTGATAGATGATAGAGGGGGTGGAGTCCTCGCTGGCTGACACCATCATCCCACATACCTAGAAGGGGATGAAAACACCCGAGTGGAGTTCTGTTCGAACGTTATGGTTTTTACTAAGTGGATTAAATACCCTGAAGTATTTAAGAGAGACCTGTTTGGATAGCCATTAACATTAAATATGCTACAATAAAAACTAATACCGAGTCAACAACTCAACAATGCTACTGAAACCTTCAAACCAGTGGTGGGTTGTAACCCTTCAACTTTTTAAAGGGAAAAAAATAAAATAAAATGAAATGTCACCAAAGATGCTGTCTGTGAACCTCTGAGTCAAATATGTCACTCACGGGTTGGTTTAATTTATTTATTTAACCTCACCTGTATAATCCCAGCCATAAACTCAGCTCCTACATCCAGAGGGTAGTTCTCCATCATGTAGAAGGCCACTGCGCACATCACCAACACATGCTGCTGGTTATGCAGGTTCACATAGCTGCAAAATAAATAAAAAAAAATTAAAAAGATAAAATAAATAAATGGATAAAAAAGACCCAAAAGAATAGGTGATGTAAAGGGCAACACCTAGAGGCTAAGAGGTGAATAGCACTTTTTTCCATTACCTTTTTAAGCTGGATTAAAAGCTAATTAACTAGCAGATTGTTTTATAATGAGGGATGGGGGCTGATGCAGTGACATACAACATATTAGTTTCCTGAGGCTCTTTTTTTACCAGTTAAACTTGGAGGATAGAAGTAAGAAGAAGTCTGTGTTGGAGAATACTCACTGAGCAACACCCTTGAGGTTGGACAGAAGGTACTCTGACACTGCAGGGATCAGCTGTTTGGCTGTTTCATCCAGCAAGTCGCACTCCAACACGTACAGGACACCGTGCAACGCTCCCATACGACTGGGCAGGTGGGTGCTGCGCAGGGTCGTCTCCAGCAGACGACACACAGGCTCCGCCATTACTTTGTCCTGCAAATAGATCGTCAGTAGTGGGCGTTTAACGATATGCCACCAGTGTTCCCATCATTTTTTTTTTTTTTTTTTGCCCACTCTCACAAAGATTCACTCACCATGCCCAACACAGCAGCAGCCTTACAGATGGCAGGAACCAGGTACTGATTCAGGATCTCATCTTCTGGTGGGTGAAGCTTCTGAAGCTCCATGAGGGTGGAGAACATCATGTCAAACTGGTTCCTCTCTGTGAACAGGTCCGACACTGCCAGCAGCTGAACAGAACGACAAGAACATTTAAAATACGTCTACGTGCGACTGCGTCTCCATGTTTGTTTATTTTTGTTCCCTCCACATGTTAGTCTTTAAACTTTAAAGAATCTGAATGGAGATATGGAGAGACGTATCTGAGAATCAGTGTTTTATTTCAAACAGCTGACGGCCTTTTAATAATGCAGATTTACAGCCCTAGGGTTGACCTGGTGATAACGGAGCACGTGCAGTATAACTCACCGATCGGACCACCTCACTGATAAGGATGGTCGGGGTCCTCCGGTTACTTGGGGAGCCTGGAATGAGCCATTGGCTGTAGAGCTCCAGGAGAAACTGCGAACATGAATGAATATCCACACCTGCACGGTGCTTCCTGCAAACCACAGATACAGCAGTTTGTGATGTGCAGTGTGTGTGCATGTTTATGGCTACACATTTTTTACAGATTTGCTGCTCGTCGACAGATGAAGCAAATATCAATCATTTCAATATGACAGCATGTTTTGCTGTGAAACGTAAGGCCTCTGCAGTCATGCGGTTGTTCCTTTTAAAGTTTTAGCTGAGCGGTGTGAGCACTCGTGCGTTGTCTGACCTCGAGTTTATGGGAGATACAGGTGGGGAGGCAGGTGCTGGAGTGTCAGCTTCATCTTCTTCATCCTCACCCCACTCTTCCTCCCTTAGAGGAGTGATGTTGTTGCCCAACCACACTGAGTGGATTGAGACCTGGTGAGAGACATGCCAAATATAACATGCATTACAGATATGAACTGAATCTAATATTTTGTCTTTATAGCCTTGCTTCGTCATGTCTTTTACCTGCCCCAGTTTGTAATCCATGTTGCCCAGTTCCCTCTCTGTGTTGATCTGAAGCAGCAGTTTCTCGTGGCTGATTAACATCCCTGCTAAAAACAATTTGATCAAGAAACGTATCCACTCAAACATAAAAAAAAATCATTGGACCTCAGATTTAGTACGGTTCTGTTACCTGCAGAGGCAGCCGACAGTGACGGCACAGGGTCCCAGGTGTGGTATGGATGCTGTGTATGGACATTGTCCCTCTTTGAGACAAGAGCCTGAATTTCCCGCTCCACTTCACCCCTAATCACTGCGAGTTTCCTGCCAAACCTGGACACACACATGGAGTTCAAACTAAATGAAAAGAGCAGCCTAAACAGGGTTGTAAACTCGTGCTCCAGGATTATTGGTGTTCTACAGCAGGGCTGGGTTAAAAAAATCTATTTAATCGATCTGGATCGATTCTCGTTCAAATTTGGGAAAATCGATTCATAAGTCATGAGATCGATTTTTCTCCATGGGTGTTGTGTGTGATGAAGCTGAGGCGAGTTTCTTTGTGTCACTCCTGGCTTGCCGTAGGTTCAGTGCTAATGTTAGCTCCCGACAACAAGTTTTCTGAGGCAAAACAAAAGAAGCAAAGGAATCACCAACATTACAGCTGATTCTCAGCAGAACTTAAAGATAACAGAGGCCAAGACAACTTTTGTTTGCAAAGATTTGTGCTTGGACGCAGTAGCAGGCAGCGAAGCGGGATTTGAGCAGTTCATTCAGGTGCTTGAACCAAAGCTGCGGTATGTAAACATCTGAGTGGAAAACAGTTCTTGGCTTGTATAAATGTGTGAAAGATGACACTAACAAAATGGTTTAGTTTTGTTACCAATATTATTTTTGAATTTAAGAAACATCTTAATGTAATTCACAGTGATGGGATGTTTTAGCTGAAGTACTTTCTTTTTTTTCTTTCTCCTTAAGTTTTATTGAACAGAAGGTAACAGAAACATTACAAAAATACAGTTTTCATACACTCAAAAGAGTGGGCAGAAGTAAACACATATTATCCCACCTCTTCTCCTGTAACCTTATTCCATCACTTAGTGACCAAAAAAATTATTCTTGGTTTCTTAAAAAACTGATGTATCCACAACACTTTCTCTTACAATTCCTTTTTTAGTTTAAACCCTTTGAAACTTGACCATTTTGTTTCAAGATTAAACTCTAATTTACAAGATGGCCTTTAATGTTTATAATTTTACCAATGCACCAAGTTAGAATTAGTTTCTACTATTTGCAGAATTAGTTCCATTGAGAATGTCTTCTATATCAGAATAAATGTGTTACTGCATGATATCCTTAACTCATTTAAAAATCAATCAAACTGAACCGTGAATCAAATCGATTTGGGAAATCTGAATCGATACCAGCCCTATTCCACAGAGAGAAGAAAACATTATCAAACAGACTACATCCTCTCAAAGGAAATCCTTGTCATGTCTTCAGAAGAACCAGTCATTTTTGTAAGTCCTTTCTTTTCTCTGCTGTTATGTTGCTAAACCTGGACTATACTAAAAATGAACTCACTTATTACACCTTGCTTCTATTTGATGTTCTAATCTTGTTGACATTGTGTGCTGTGAGTAAACATAGACCAGCAGGAGACAAATAAATTGCCTACTGAGGTGAATAAAAGTTGTCTATAACTAGTCTAATTAGAGGCTGCCACTCAGCAGACAGATAATATCTGCAGTTACCGTGTTTCCAGAGCTTTGAGACTCTTGTTGCGCGGCTGCTGTTCCAGACAGCTGGCTGCAGGGTTGCCAGCAGTGGGGAGGGTCATGGCGCTCAGCACCAGGCTGGTGATGGCCTGCACTGCTAACACATTCAGCTGGGTGCGCTCCAGGTCCTCCTGGAGACAAAAAGGTTGAAAAGGCAGAATGTCAGATATTTTCAAGCACAACATTTCTTTAGAAATCAACCTTATGTATTTTGGAAAAATACCTCAAGAAGTTTAAAAAAAAAAAATTTCTGATAAGCATTTTATTAATAGCATGTAAAAACATTACAAGAAAATGGTTATCACAAAACAAACCAACCCTAGACAACTGGATGGATAGAACATCAAATGGAAAAAAATAGCAGCCTCTCTCAATCACAAGACTGAAGAATTTTGTCAAAGGTGGCAAAGTTGGGTAGACTATGTGAAACCTAAAAGACCTGATTTTAATTTCAGAGACGAGGCTTGATGAAACCACTCTCCTATAATATTGTAGATACTTTTTTATAATTACTTAATTCTATGCTTTTGGTTTGTGTATTTTTGTTTATTTCTCTACATTTCTTACTATTTCTGTTTTTCTTCTTTTACATTCTATTTTTTTTACTCCCTTCATTATAATCTTTCTCTGGGAAGTGGAGTTGTAGAGTTGTCTACTCATCTTCTTTTTCTCAAATACTGAAGTTGGCCTGGTGATGCTGAGACCAAATGGTTTGTAAAATTTACTTCCATGATAATCAGTAAAGATAAAAATAACAAAAAGAAAAGGGAGATATTGAAGACATGCAGGGAGATTAAGACTTTTCATGTTTTTTATACCTCCTGATGTGGCTCCTCCTCCTGATCCATTGTGATCGGTTGGGTGACCAGCACCCCCAGCAGAGTGGCCCATGTTTCCTCAAACTGAGTCCTGCTACTCCAGCCTGAAATTGCAGCAATCGAAGAACCATAAATGAGAAAAAGTTTAACAATGCTCTGCTAAAATGATACATGGGACATTAGTATATTTTCTGTACCTAGTGTGTTGATGCGATACAGAAACTCCCTGAAGACGTCCTTTTCCTGCAGAAAGTCAACAGGGATCTCGGGCAGCGTCGTGCCAAAGTCTCCACCTGGCTGAGGGGACCAGCCCAGTTTCCAAACCTAAATGTGGAAACAGCATTTAAAGAAACACGCCAATACACCTGTCAGAACCAAGGTTATAATCGTTTTGGATTTTTCATTATAGTTTAGTTTTATTTCATTGTGACTTTTTTTCTTTTAATTCAGTTAGTTTTAGTTAGTTTTTACAGTGGATTTGATTGTTTTTATTAGTTATTATTGCATTTTTAATGCTTAGTTTTAGTTTAGTTTTTGTTAGTTTTAGTGTTAGTTTTTTATAGTTTGAATAAACATATTTGCCAATGCATCCTCCAGCTTGTGATGTTCCTGGGAGTTAACTAAACAACAGCTATATGGTCACTAGTTAAATCAGTCCATTATAGAGACACCTTCCTAAAATAATGTTGTAACTCAATTTTGCCAACCAAAAACTTAGGAGATTATTTTAGGACGATGACAATAGTTGTCTCCAACCTGCTGCTACCTGCTGCTTGTTTTTCATGGGAGCTACTGAGAAAAACTAGAGTGTCAAGATAGTCATAGTTAGCATCTTGTGTGACTTGATTCATGCAGTTTTTCCCCTGAGGAGTTTTCCACCTGTTTTATCACCTGTTTCCACTACAAGACACTTGATTTAATTTTTCTCAGTCATATTCAAAGAAATCTCAAAGTGGACTTTGCAGCTTTCTCCCAACCTTTGTTGTCATCATTTACCAAACGATGCTGAGCAGCAGCAGACTGTAAAAAAAGTGTTGTTACAGACCACAGCTAATGTCAAACTAATCAATTTAAAAAAATAAATAAATTGACAAACACTACAACTAAGGATATTCTATCTATAATTTCAGTTGGTTTTGTAAAAAGATTATACAGTTTTAGTTAGTTATTGTTTTTTCATTTTATTTCAGTTTTTATTTATTTTAGTTAACTAAAATGTTTTTTTCAATTTCAGTTTTTGTTATTTAGTTAGTTTTAGTTAACAATAAGAACTGCCAGTACTATTACTCTTTCAAACACTCACCAGTGGAGGTACTCTGGTGTAGCTGTTGACCAGAGGCAGCCTGGACAGACTGATGACAATGTTGCGCAGTGTTCGTGTGAGGAAAGCAGGAAACACTGAGTTTTTTGGGTGACCTAAGGAAAGGACGCTCTGCATTCCTTCCACCAGCTCTGCCATGATCTCACACGCTTCCCATTCGTACTTGTCTAAAACAAACAGATAAGCAATCAGCAACTCAGAGTGGCAAAAAGAAACTCCCAGTGAGAATCAGTTTTTCATGCCATTTCTAAATTATTCTCACTTTTGGCACGTCCCAAGTCCACTTGGTCTCCTTCAGAGTCTCTTTCTCCACGTGGCCTTCTCTTCTCAGGATGCAGCAGCAGGTCACCGGGACTCACAGCCACTGAAAGACGAAACAAAAACAGGTTTCACAATGGAAGCAGGAAAATACGACAGCTCAAAAGGTGGTTACACAACAGGACCACACTTAATGACAAGAAATGTTTGCGCGTCTCCCTCATCACCTGCGACAATAATGAGGCGCAGGCAGTGGATGAGGGAGCAGGTGTATGTGGTGTACTCGGGGGTGGAGAGCTTGTTCCAGATGCAAGGCTGCTGCAGGGCCAGACACAGACAGGAAAGAGCCCACTGCAGATCCACACTCAGGGGCAACTGGTCCTGGAGCAGGTGCCACACCACAACCTGATCAAAGAGGTTTGCACGAGGAGAAAAGAGTTAATGCACTAATGTAATCAGAGTTGTAAAGTAACTAAATACAAATACTTTGTTACTGTTCTTAAGTTGAAACTTTGAGTATCTGTACTTTACTTGAGTAATTATTTTTCAGCCTACTTTTTACTTCTACTCCTCACATTTTTACACAATTTTCTGTACTTTCTACTTGTTACATTTTTAATAAGGTAAGAAATAGAAAGTCATTACTCCTTGTAAGACCTCATTTTGTAAAAAAAACACATTATGTAATAATAATGTAATAAAATCAGGCTTCAAAATGTAATAAACACGCGCTAAAACCGCATTATGTAATAATTGACACAAATGTAAAAAAAGTCTTCAACACTTTATGTAATAATGTTACATTGTGCGGCATGCACCAAATTATTACACCACCACATTAAGTAACAATTGGGTGCATTATGTAATAAACAATCAAAAAACAGTATTTCTGTTCATTCTAATCAATATACTTGTAATAACTGTCACATTGCAAATACTACATAATTAAATCTTTATAACTTTGGTTAATAAACACCGAACTTCTCATCTTTTATTTGCATTTTCAGTTAAATTCTTGTGTATATGGATGTATAGAGCAATCTCACGGATTTTTTTCATGTTTTATGCAATCTATCAAAAACTTAGTTTGCAATTTATTCAACATGTCAGAGCCTGTTGGACATAAAAAAACAATTATTAACATCAAATATCCACTTCCAACCCACTCTGTTGCTACAAACAAGTTCTTCAACCCTCATTTCCTTCTGATACAGAAGCAGACAGTCTGCCTGCACCATATGTTTAACTTCAGGTGTTTTTACCTCAGTGGCTGTGCAAGTGAAAGTGGTGATTAGGTGCTCCTTGTCAGGGGGAATATGAAGTGATGGAGGCAGCTGACTAATGCTCAACAAATACTGAGACAATGCTCTGCAGAGTGATAAAACCTTGGGGTAGAAACCTGGCACATCTAGAAAAACAAACAGGAAATGTTCCACAGATAAAAACTTGCTTTGTGACTAGAAGTCTGACTACAACAAATATATAAAAAAATTCCAGGAGGAAATTGCTGTTTTCACCCAGCAATTAATCTCACCATAAACGTCACCCAGCTGGTTCCAATAAGGCTGAGGATGTGGGGGTGGCAGGAAAGACTGGTGAGGGGCAGGAAGCGACCCTGTGACTTCTGCTAATTGCTCGAGGGTCACCTGCCAGGCTTTCTCCATCAAGAGTAACCCCTGACCCCGGGTTAACCTCTGCACTCCCACACTCAGACATGGGCACAGCAAGCGTAGGTTGAAATCCTGGGAAAGTGACGGTTTAAACGTAAACATGCAATATTTTTCTGCAGCATGTTTTAGATTTTTAAAAACCTTTTTTTTTTTATATTTGCAAGTAGAGGAAAGCATTTCTCAAAGAATGCATACCGCCCACCAATTAATTTCCTAAACAAATATCCAGACACAATACTTCATGTGGAGAATATCTTATTGTGATTGGTTTTGTTCGATTACCTTGCTGCTCATGACACTGAAGAGATCATCAGGAGGTAGTTTAGTCAGAAGTTCTGTTGTCTCCAACAGAGAAACATCCCCAAGAACACTGCACTGAGACGTCACCAGGGCCACGTACCATTCCTGCACAAAATAAAACATGGAACTTAAGTTCCTTTCTGAGATTTAAAAAAAAAAGTTGTTTCAAGTATCTTTATTTGCTGTATTATACAAATTTGTCACTGCGCAGGCTGTCAGAATCGAACTCCCCACCTTGTCAGCGGTGATGTTTTCAGGGGCAGGAGGAGGATCTCCATCTAACGGGTGTGATGTAACTGGAGGTGTGGGGCTGCTGGTGTCGGTAACGGTGGCTCTGAACCTGTCCAGCAGGGAGTAGAACCTCTGATGTCTGTTGCACATAAACAGAAGAGAGAGAAGTTTGTTTAGAGAATAAAAATTGAGAACAAGAATGTATATAAACCTCAATTTTTAACAATATAGCAGGTGAGCAATGTGAAGGTATGATTTAAATCAGTGATTCCCAACCAGGGGTACAGGTACCCCTTGGGGTATGCAAGCATATTACAGGGGGTATGTGGAAAAATTTCCCAGGTGTGTAAAAAAATAAATAAAAATATGACTGAGAAATGTAGGGCCCAATGATTTCCACAATGTGGAAAATGCAAAGGGAATCACAAAATTGACACAAAATGGAATTGTGTATAAAACGCAGAATCTCATGGAATTTGCTCATATTTGATGTATTTTGGATGCTGCTGCTTCCTGCACCTGCCATTACTTGGTTTATGTATTTAATATCTTATACACTTTCAAGGCAACATATTTATCTTTATGTTTAATTTGAGTGGAAAAGAATGAAATGCCTAAGAATTAAACGTTCTAGGGAGTTAAATAAATCATTTTCATTTAATAATCAGCTGTTTTACATTGTAGTTTTGGAGAATCATCATTACATTTGACTGAAGGGGTACTAGTGGTACGACAAAATGGCTCAGGGGGTACACAAGTCTAAAAATGTTAGGAACCACTGATTTAAATGAAGTGAAACAAAAACTACAAACTGGAAGGAGGGTACCTTTGAGCCAAGCCACTGGTCTGGAGGTACTCTTGGATCCTTTCCAGTTCCTCCACAGGCAGCTGAGCTACACTGTTCTGGAGGTGGAAAGATTAAAAAAAAAGATGAATCTTACAAAAAACAAAAATGAAACATGTTAACATTTTTTTCTGATTGAGAAAAAGGTTGCCCAAGCTTCACAGAACATTTCATTTGGATATGTTTCACACACCTGTAGAGTCTCAGCCAGCAGCATCTCTACTCTGCGACACGCCAGCGTGTCCACCATCCGAGCCAAAACCCTGAAGGGTGTGTGGAGTAGTTTGTCCACATAAAGCATGAGCAGAGATCCAGACTGACTGAGGTGGATGCCTTCCAAACACTGCAGTGTTTTCTTCAACATGGTGGGCTACAAAAGCATCCAAACAAAAAACAGAAATGAGGAAACATCAGTGAAAGAGGTAGGTGGGACACAACGGAAACAATAAGGGACGAGGAGTCAAAGTAAGTTTAAATTATAAAAATACTCGACTCAGTTAAATCAAATGCACTCTTAAAAGGAAAGGACAGAAATTTAAAGCAGATGTTATCTCACAGTAGTGAGGTTGTCGCAGCGGGACTGGATGGCCTGAATGAAGAGGCCGCTGGCAGCAGAGTTGCGGTGAACGGCGCTGATGAAATCCTGAACTGGAGGCTCATGAGAAAGGCTGATGAGGTCACGCACGTGGTTGACGATTAGCCAGGTCAGATGCTCGGAGTCGTGGAGATTCTGACACTAAAAGTAAAGAAAAATAAATAAAGCAAAACATAAAACTGAGATTGCAGGGTTATGTGTTTGCTCCAGGGTAGTTTGGGACATTATTTGTATACATCTTATCCTCGTAGTAAAATTATTTCCTTCCTCGTAGTGGTGTTCCAATACTTTTCTGACTTGTAAATATATTTTCTGAGTTCTTGAGAAGAAGCTTGGATTTTTCCCGTCTCTGTGCTGGAGTCTTACCACATAATCACAGAAGAGAATTAGGGCTCCTCTGCGTACAATCTCTCTGTTGACCATTGTTAACCGGGACTCTGGCTCATCTTCTTCACCCTCCCCTGAGGAATGAGGACTTAGTAGCTTTGTAGATGAAAGACTGTGACCTCTGCAGAGAAAAACAAAAGCAGAAACAAGTTTAATTTATACGCAGTCTCACATTAGGGAAAAATTGGAACAAAGATCTTAGAACGGCAATTTCTCCCGTTTTGTCCATTTAAAGCAACTTGCCAAATCCTAAAAGAATGCCCCTAACTTGTTCTCACCTGGGTGTCTGATGGACCTCCACCCACCATGAATAGTTGGTGTAGTTGATAATGAGAAGAACCTGGCACCACAGCAGCACCAGAGATGGATGGGTGGTGAGGAGAGACTGCACCATGCTGTTTAGCCCTTCTAAGTGGTAGAAGAGACCAGCCTCTGGACCCGTCTGTCCGTTCTCATCCTTCAGAAGCCGACTGGCTGCAGCTGTGATCCTGCGAAACATTCCTGACAGAAAAACAAATAAATAAAATAAGTGGTTTATGTTAAAAGTTGAACTCACATTCTTACCTGCATAAAACTAATGACGTGCTTACCGCTTTTGAAGACATGTATAAGACACATGAGCAACGTGCCCAGCTGCTGACAGTAGAAGGTGTGCTGTTGTTCAGTAATGTCCACTTTAACCCGTCTGCTGGAAATATCATCAAGCAACACGCCTACCAGCTGAAGGAGGAACCTGGAATGAGGAGAGATTTGAAGTGAAAAAAGAAAAAGGAGACGTTAAAGTGCCTGTGACATCAGTTTTTTGTAATAAAAATGAATGCATTTTTGGAAAGAGAACATTGATAAAATATTGCAAAATGAATTTCACGCCACTGAGATSAAKRGTTGTTGAGATATTTGCATGTGTAGAAACAGGAAGTGATGTCAAAGGGGAATGTCTGAATGTAAACAGAGCGTTGTTACAACAGCTAACAGCAGAGACTGTAGAGAAGAATCTGATGTTTCTTTACATTATTTTGAGTTTCTATCAAAAAGAAGAAGAAGAGTGAAAGTTTAAATAATATTGTTTTAATAAACAAAGACCAGAGAGTTTCTTTTATTAGAGTTCCCCTTTGATGTCACTTCCTGTTTCACTTTGGCTGAGCCAAATCCAAAAGAAAATAGGCCAGTTATGAGACAAAATGTGTAAAATCATGTGTACTATGTGAATTTTCTTAAGAATAATGATGTTTTCTTAGACTTTTTATATGTGAAGGATAGGCATGTCACGAGCACTTTAACCCTCTAAGGTCCAAGCACGGTCCAGAGCGGGCATCGACATGACACATTTAAGGGCTACTGCGACAAAAATGGCAGAATGTTGAGTGCTCATTTCAACTGGGTTGGGCAGCACAGACTTCAAACTCTATAAAAACAATGTTTTTTTTTTTTTTTATTACTTCCAAATGAAACCAGATTTATGATAAATCATTTTTTCCCATAATTTTGTGAAGCGTTTTATGCATTTGCTGCACATTCAGTTAACGTTTTGTGCCCAGGAAGTGCTTGAATGCAACATGACACGCATTTTTCTGATTTCCTGAAATGCACCACATTTCCAAAGCAATCAATAAAAAAACAGTTTGTTGGTTTGCCAGTGGAGAACGTGAGAGAGAGTTTTGGAGATGGAAGAATGAAGCATAGTCAACATTTTGGTTGTGCTGAAAATAATGATACTAAACAAGGCAAGGTAAACAGTTTGAGATGAAAATATAAGGGTAAATTCTAAATTAGTCAAAATGGCCATTTAGACCCCAGACCTTGGAGGTTTAAATGAGAAGAAAAACAGCAGAAATGAAGGAAAATGTCATTTACTCCTTATGTTTAAAACCTCAGTTATTGTTTTTACCTTATTCATAATTCCTGAAACTATTGGATGAGTCTCTTTTTTGAGTAGTCCCATACATAAAACAAACTATAACAAAGCTGTACGGTGGTAGGACTGCACCAGTGTGTTTTATAAATTACCACAAAGTGATACTTGAGTAAATGTACAAGTATCTTACCAAAAAATGACTTTGGTAAAGGTTAAAAGTCTCCTTTAGGAATATTACTTGAGTAAAAGTCTTAAAGTATCTGATATTAATTGTACTTAAGCATTAAAAGTAAAAGTACTGATTTAAAATATACAGTTAAATTTCTTTAAGGACATTTAAAGGTGACCTCCCCAAATTCTTTTTAGAAATGACTATATCATATTAAAATAATGTTTAGTTTATAAATTTAGGCTGCACTAGTCCAGCTGTTTCAGTTTATATACATATATCAAGGCTGCACAAACCTTTTCCCCAAAATAACAATCTGAGGGCTGCAGACCAAATGCAATAATATGATTCATGAAATACAAATACTTCTTAAGTACAGTCCTTTTATTTGAATGATTCTGTCCTGCTGGAGTGTGACAGGATTTGTTTGTGTAAAAACTAATACAGTATCCGAATTTTACACATTTATACTTCTCATTCAACCACAGTTAAACAAGCAAAAATGAAATTAATGACTTTCTACTTTTTGCCTTTTTTATATGTAAGGAGTAGAAAGTGCAGATAATTGTGTGAAAATGTAAGAAGTAGAAGTAAAAAGTAAGCTGAAAAAGAATTACTCAAGTAAAGTACAGATACCCAAAAATTATACTTAAGTCCAGTAACAAAGTATTTGTATTTAGTTACTTTACAACTCTGGACCAAACAAACTATGTTTGCACTGATTAGCTGAAGACAAGCCCAACATTTAAACTTTATCTATGAAAAAATATTTCAGTGGTATATTTTCGGGGCAAATATGTCACCTGGCAAAAGTTTCCTCAGGTGAAAACTTCTGTGTTTCACCATTGGCTTCTTGGTTAGACACCGTGTCAGCAGCAGGCGGGTCATTGGGTGAAGGAGTCTGCTGATGCAGGCGGCAGATTGTCTGGCAGGAGAGCAGATGTGGGGAGAGAGACAGCTCGTGGATCCGGGACAGGACAATGTCTTCAGTGGACTGGGAGATTAAAACTCTAAGGACTGCCAGGATGCCAGACACCCACAGCTGGACTGTTGAGACAGACGCCTGAAGGAATGCACGTTTAATATCATGTTAAATATTTCAGGAAGTATTAACGTCAACTTTCACAATACAGCAACCCGATTTTAGAGCACAACATGACCGGAGGACACGTCTCACCATGGTGGCTGGGATAGTGAACATGCTCTTGAGCAGCATGTCTACAGGTCTGAGAGATGAGGGTGCCACAGTCTCAAACAGAGTGTTCAACACTCCTAATGCTTCTGGAGAGTCTAGAAGCATCTGAAAAAATAAAAAGTTATCAATGAATAGTGCCTGAAAATGTGATACATGTATCTAAGCTGTGCGTGTGCCAACCTGCTGCTTAGCAATCATAGGCAGTATGACATCAGCTATTTGTCTAGACAACCTCTTCCACTTGTCCTCATTTTCTTTGTGACACTGCTGCAGCACAAGGATGAACATCTCCAACACCTGAAACAAACGTGTTAAAAATCCCAGGCAGAAAACAAAGAGCTGGAATATCTCATGACATTATTCTTCCACGTTACGTCTACGTGTAGACATACCTGATGGTACTGCACAAGCCTGAGCAGCATGGACACCACCACTTCTTTCTGTGTATCCAGCTCTTTGCCTGCATCTGCTTTGTTTGAGCCCCTCAGGACAAATAGGTCATAAACTATGGGCTGTAAGGCAGGGATGGCTGCAGAGAAATAAAAATATGTCATCAGTTATTCTGTCATTTATTTACAAGAACTCCTCCAGGCAAAATAAATCAAAAATAAACAATTAATTTAAAGGAAATATTAAGCTAAGGGCTGCATTTTCCTCTGTGCTGCTCTCACCGTGTGTGACAGCTTTCCTGCCGCTCGCCATGATGCCGTCGCAGAGCTGGATGATTTTGGGAATGCTGATGATCTGCTTGGAGTGGTATCGCTCATACGACAGCAGCACCAGAAAGAAAAAGATGCTGGGAATGATGGCTTCAGAATCCCTGCAAAGGAAGTTACGTTTTAGTTCAGAGAACAACTTGATGCAAACAGACTGTTTTCCAGGGTGCATTAAAAAAAGACAAATACCTGAACTGTCCCACTTCAATATATTCAAACTGCTTCAGAACAAAGCCTATGAACACCTGAAACATACAAAATAATTCTGAGTAAGTAAAATAATTACATTTAAAGCTGCATGCATCAAAACAAAACCTGCATTTCACCTGGTCTGAGTCCAGCAGGCAGTAGTTGACTCTAAGCTGCACAAGCTGAGCAAGCAGGTCCAGCACCTGTCTCTGCAGGGCCACAGAGGTGCTGGTGGTGTACTGCTTCAGAGCTTTGATCACCAGAGGCTCAAACAGTCTGATGTGGTTGTGAATGGCATTCTGAGAAAACAAAAAAGGAGAAAATGTAGCTTTCAGAACAACAGCACATTTTAAAATGTTCAAAAAGAAACTTATGCTACGTTCACACGGCAGGTCTTAATGCTCAGTTCCGATTTTTTGAAAAAATCCGATCTTTTTGTGTGAACGTTCACATTACATTTTAAATGTGACCTGTATCAGACCCCTGTGTGAACGCTACACAGCACTGATGTGACACGCATGCGCAGTAAAAGACGTGACGTCTCATCAGCCGGCTTGTTTGTTTACAGAGCTAGCATTGATGCTACATATTACACATCGAATCTGAAGTTGTTGTTTAATCAGAGCCGATTAAATAATTATCTGACCTGCTTGTTTAGTTCAGTGTTTATATCTGAACCTGCCTCTGGCCGGGATGCTCCAGGGAAGCTTTTTTTTTTTTTTGAACGAAACTATGAGCTGGAAAATAGTATCGACCGAGTAGCTAACTTTAGGATCGATACTCTCCACGACCCAGGCTGGACATTGTTATTATCATACTAATGAAAAGTAAAAAGATGAAGCAACTGGACTTGTGTTTGGAGCTGTAAACACACGGAGCTACAGATTTAAACAGCGAGACTTGAGGTTAGTGTCTTATCGATCCTTCACCCCCTCCTCCTGATGAAAAAGTCAGATGAATGTGACATGAGCGTTCACACTGCAGTCACTTTGAAAACATCAGATATATATCCGATTTAAAACCACATACTGAAACGGCCTGGGTCGGATTTGAAAAAATCGGATTTGTCTCGTTCAGACGGTCATAAAAAAAATCGGATACGAGTCAGATGGGTATAAAAAAAAAATCGGATTTGGGTCGGATTTGCCTGCAGTGTGAACGTAGCCTTAGTTCAACATTTGTGACGAACATGGGCATCAACATTTTCAAGGAGCAGTGGGTACAAGCCCTAACAGGAGTACGCTCGGCCTTGATATGTGATAGTTTATTACAATTTAAGGTAATACATAAACTTCACTGGTCTAGACAGAAACTGAGCAGTGTTTCCAAATATTGTCGCTTTGTGTGTACAATGTAAACAAACATCAGCCTCCTTGACCCATATATTCTGAAGTTGTCCCAAGCTGTCCAATCTTTGGTCAAATATTTTTCCAACAATGTCACAGGTGACGCACAGACCCAAACCTTCAAGCTGTAATATTAGGAATAATAGATCCTCAGATAGTGAAAAGTTAATTGGAAAGTAGTATGATATTGTTTATATGTTTACTTGCTAGGAGGCTGATCTTACTGATCTGTAAACAAGCTTGGGGATGTAATGATGCATTTGGACTTGGAGAAGATTAGGTTTAAGGCTCCAGCAAGCTGCAGCCGAACTGTCACAGTTTCATGATGAAAACTGTGTCATTCTGTTCACGTTAACATTTTGGCACTTTTTGTCGCAACCTGCGGGTCGAACTTTTTACCCCCCTCCATATAAGAACTTTATTGTGTGATTGGTCAGAAGTTCGTTGGCGTGTTTGTGCTGAAAGTGCTCAGACGCTGTATTTTACTTCAACCACTCACTTCAAAAAAAAAGTGACTTCCAAAAGCAAACTATTGTACCAGGAAGCAGCACTTTATACGGATAGTAAAATGATCAAAACAGACTATTTGCACGGTGGAATTTGACTGATGAAAACTTTGTATCCTGTAACGTCAGCGGAGTTGTTTTTGTTTAACTTGTTTCAGAAGAAAAAATAATAAAAATAGAGGGGGGAAAAAAAGAAACTTGGTTTTAAAAGCAGGACATTTTAAGCGTACCTTGTCTCCTCTGTGACGTGTTGCATTTGCAATGTTAGACCTCAGCTGATTGGAAGCTTTTTGCATCACATCAAACCATCTAAACATGTAAAATTAAAAGAGAAAACTTGTTATATTCCATATATAGACAACTTTATAAACCTAATAGTGCTCATCAAAATGCCTGCATTTTATTGAATGTTTTAGTCACCTACACGTCTTATATAGAGACTCACCCAGATGCATCCTGCTCCTGTTCAGCCTGCACCATGTTACGTAAACTAGCATCAGCGAGAGCCTGGGTGAAGTGTGTGTACGGAGCCATGAAGCAGTAGTGGTAGAGACCCGGTCGCAGGCTGGAGGAGCCCAGTCGAAGGGCTTTGCCCTGGGAGCGGCTGGGACCACACAAGACGCCTTCATACTGGGAGGCCAGGTTGGTTCCAAACAGGGTCTTCAACAACTAAAACATACGTCTTGGAATTTTAGTGCAGGAACAAACTTAAAACAGGCCATAAAACCTGAATCTGTAATGAATTATCAGCATGCAAAAAGTTCTTAAATGGTGGAAAGACATCCGGTTAAGACTATGTGACTGTTAAGAATAAAAACAATGAATGTATGGAACCATCGCACAGGGAAACCAATGCCTTTACAGGCCCTGTCGGCAGGAACCAGCCTCATTCTGCGTGGAGTCATGCCGGCTGTAGCACACTGCTCAGTGCTAAAACCATACGGACTGCCACACATAACGTGACAGGGCACAAACCTACACCTCAGAAATGAAACACAGAAATGACTCACCTGCTGGACACAAACAGTAGCCATGGTTGGTTCTCTGGAAAAGCAGGACTTCAAAAAGCCAAGAATTTCTTCTACACACTGACAAAGAAAGGACAAATTGTTTACCGACTTTTTTTTTTTAGTTTAAACTATTTTGTTTTCATTGCTGACCCAAATGCTCATGAAAACCTTCCTAATTTGATTCCACAAATACTAAAACATCACCTTCCCAATGTCATGCAATGTGGCCAACTCCAGCAGCTGAGACAGAACATCTAGAGCAGAACGCAGGAAACTTCCAAACTTCTCCTGGCTACTGTGGAGATCCAGTGTCACCTAAGAGACAACAAGAAACATTTAGAAAACAACTTCCTGCATCAAAAATCTTGTAAATCGTTGTTCCAATAAGACAAGTGCCCTGACCTTGTAGTTAGCATGGGTGGCTTTGAGGACATCGTAGAGCTTGAGATAGGGAGGCAGGTGGTAGAAGTTACCGAGGGTGGTAGATTTGTTTACGGCTGTTGACCCTGTGCTGTCTGATGGCCTGCCTGTTCAAACAAAGACAGCTTATTAAACAGTTGGTCAGATAAACAGTATCCACATCCAAGCACTCTAAGGCTGAGATTCTTAACCCATTGCCACCTTGAGGGCCTCAAAAGTTCAACAGTTTTTAACTTTGGGCCGCAGGACAGCATTGATTTTGAATAAGGTGCAATACACTTTCTCACCACTAGTAGCTGTAGTGCACCACTCAGATGTTTAACAACTTATTTAATACGTAGAAGAAGGATCTTAGCTACCTGCCAAGAGTGGAAACCTATTTTAAATGAAAAACAAAAGCAATAATGAAGGCAACCCGTCAAAAAAGGCCAAAGTTTGTCACCAACATAAAGAGCAGCCTCTGGTTCTACCAGGCAATATTTTAAAAGTTCAAAACATTTTCAAATACAGTTGCAGATACAGCTATATTTTAATTTGAACTTTATCAAATTAATTATTGTAGTTTATTTTTAAACATTTTGAATGTATTTTAAAGAAACTTTAAACTTGTTAAAAAGCTGTTACTGTTATTGTTTGTCACTAATATGAAAAGCAGCCTCTGGTTCTACCATGCAAAAGTTTAAAAAGGCTTTATTTTCATTTGCACTTTATCAAATTTATTTTTACAGTTTTTTTTTATATTTTTGAATGTATTTATGTTATGACCACAATTTTATTTATTAAATTGTCTATTTTTGTTATTTATGTTAAAATATATATTTGTGTTGATAAGCCTGAGTGGTCTGTTGACTAGTCTGTATTTGTTCAAATAATTGCAGGGCAGGTTACAGTATAAAATAATGTTTGTCATAATCATGTCTTGTGATTATTTGACAGGAGTTTTACTTTTATACTGTCAGTGTATTTAATTTTGTTATAATGCAAATACAACAAAAATTAAACCAAGATTTAGAATAATTATCATTTTAAACCAAAATTTAGAATAATTATCATTTTGATCCCTACATTAGTAATGTCTGACTGGGCCTCGTGCCACTTTATGTCAACAAATTGGGCCCCGAGGTCAAAAAGGTTAAAAACCCCCACTCTAAGGTTTGGACATACCTGTGTTGACCTCACTGCTTTTCTTTGGGCTCATGGGAGAAGGGTTGGGCTCAGCAGCCTCCTTCTCTTTGCCTTTCCTCCGGATAGGACTGAGGGACGGGGTGTTGCTGAGAGAAGGAAGAGCAGCCTAAAAAAATAAAGGTCAAGAGTACAAGAACTGAATTTAAACCACAAATATCATGTAGAAATAAACTGCAGTCAGCGGAGGATAAATATCAGAGCAAACGTAGCCTAAATACACATCTGCTTTGACAATAAAATACATATAATCATGCTAACGTCACATCAGGCTCACTTTCATTGCTGGTCCAGGTGGTGTGTCATCCAGCACATGAGCACAGATGTTGAGGACCTTCAGCAGGTGGGAGAACAGCTGCTCCACCATGACCACCAGAGAGCGTTCTGACAATGCCGGCCAGGGTTCCTCCATTTTATTTGGACCGCCGCTGGTGTTCCCACTGCTGCCCTCCTCCTCTCCAGCCCAGGGGTTGCGCAAACATTTAGGCGCCACAGCTAGGAACAAGATTAAGAGGCAATTCAGTCTGTAAAAGTTTATTTCTTTTCAGCAAAAGCTTAAATTTGGTTAGCTGCAATTACACCAAATGTTCATCCAAATTACACACCAGCAAGCAGGTTGCCAGAAAGCAAAAGTGCATCTTGATGTGCTGAGAGATCCAGAGGAAACCAGGCAGAAGACAGTAAGGAGAGCACCATGTTAGCCGTTCCTACAATCAGGGTCCTGCGCTCAGCGTCTGGTGCAGATGAAGTGGTGCTCGAAGAGGCTGGAGTGTTGCTCGTCTGTGACAAACTGCAGAACAGATGATCAAAAACAGAAAGCTCGGTCAACGAGATAAACAAAGAAAAGAAGAAGAATATTCAAAAGCAAACGCAGGTTTCAGTAAGTTAAATTTAAGACCTTTTAAGACCATTAGGAATGGCATTTAAGACCAAATCGACACATTAACAGAAACATTCAAATGGTCCCAGAAATTTTAACATAGAAACCTTTTATAGCTATCAATTTAGCTATTAAAAAATATTTAATTTTAATACAAGAACACTAAATCGTTTGAATGAAACTGTCATATCTATGAGACCTTCATATCGACTGCTGTGGACCGCTTCCAACCAAATGCAAAAATCTCTGATATCAAGCCGAGTCTCATTGAAAACTCACTTCCCATGTTTAAACCATAAGCAGTGGACATGACAGAACTTCTTTGTTTTTTGGGCGGGTGAACAAGCTGCCGTATGTGGGGGGCTGTAGTGGCAAAGAGGTCAAAAACATGGCAGTAAACTGTGCCATTTATTGCCTGCAGTTATCATGGGATTTGTAGTTTAACCACAGACCAAGAGCAGTAGTAAACAGCACTTCATGAAGCCAGATCACATCAACCTCTAATCATGGCGCTTTACTCTGTTTATTTATGTAGCCAATGCTTCTCTGGAATAATCGCAAGTTTAAAAAATAAGACTCGACAAAATTAAAGTTAAGACCTTGGATGAAAATCTGTGCATTTTCAAGACTTTTTTAGGTGTAAAATTTTGATTTTCAGATTTTAGACTTTTTAAGACCCTGCATGAACCCTGTTAATAAATAAACAGAGAGGATTCACAAACCTGAGGGTCCTGCCTCTGCTGCGGTTCAGACTCGAGCGGGAAGAGAAGTTGCTACTAGAGCTAACGTAGCCACAGTGCCAGCCTGTGCTCCAAGTGCCAACTGGAAAGTTTGATGCCAGGAGGCACAGAGCCTCACAGCAGCCAAACTGCAAAAGACATAATAGTATCTAAGCACGCTGTGCAAATATAAGGTAAACCCTTGATATGCAGAAGTCAGTGTAGTAGTTTGTTGAAAACTTACAGTTAGTGCTCTGGAGGTAGAGGAAGTGAAAGCGTGGGAGACTGCAGTTACAACTCTGGACAAGTTGTTTTCCATCGTGACATCAGACACACTGTTGGAAAAGTTGTAGCCTCGGTACGTCCTGAAAAAAAAAGTGTCTGTCTGAGAATCTGTGAGGGGTTTACTCTGTAATTGTCAACAAAGTTTTTAATTCAACTGTTTTTTCTTCAGCACCTTGTGATTGTGCTAACTGTGAACTGGGAGGGGGGTTGTGTCTCATGCATAAGCAGCTGAAGATAAACTGAACTCTGGTCCCGAGCAATCGCCACCACAGGATCCACCTGGCCTTGATCACAGTCATAGAACAGTCTTGGAACTAGCCTGGTCAGAAGAAACAAGAAAACAGTCATAAAACAAACCTGAACCAAACTTCAGTTTTAATCATCTATAATTCAATAAGCTGTAGGAGTGATTGTTTACACTGCGGTCTCATCATGCCAGTGAACATAGAACAGGAAGTGTACCGGCTAACAGCAGACGCCGCCACGTGTCGTACTCTTGGATCGTCGTCTCCCAACAGATTTATAACCACATCGTTCAGAACTCTGTCCTGCAGACGAAGTTGCTAAAGGAACATAAAGGAATTCAAAACCACAGTGAGTAAATGTAAAGTTTTTTAAAGCAGAGACTGTGTGACAGCACTCACCCCAGTGTAATGGTGATCTCCTCTGTGTAACGTTTCCGTTTTTCTCTCCAAGAAACTGATTAATCTAAAAGACAAGATGGAGCAGGAACTTTCAGTGAGACACAGCAGCACATCTTTAAAGTTGAGCTGAAGTGTGAGATATAAAAAATTCAGATAAATATTTTACCTGAAGTCTAAATCAACCAAGGTTTCCAAGAGCTCAGTGCGAACAAGCCAGTAGGAACATTCCCGGAGAGCAAAGAGGTCTATCACCAACTGAAGGCCGAGCTCACTCAGAGTGCTGCTGCACAGCGTCATGATGCAGTGCTAAACACACACACAAACATCAACACCCACACAGACAGCACAAAGCACACAATCACACAGACCCAGCTTACCCTGACTGCACAACAAGCCATCTTACACGTGACGGAGGAATCATCTTTTAGAGTTTTTTGTAGTAAAGGCACCAAATCCACCAGGGACAGAGGGTTGCCTGGAGAAGAGACAGCTGTGAGCACAACTTCAAACATAGATTTTCAACACATCAGAAACAAGGTTAACACACCAACCTGTTGCACTCTGCACACTGGCCAGCCAGGTGTGTATGTTATAACGTGTTTTGGTTAGTGCTGCTTGTATGATGGCTCCACAGAGGATGGCTGTGGCACCTCTGATCTGTGGGTCCCCATGATCAATCAGGCAGAGAACATCACTAATATGTTGTCTCTCTGCAAAATGAAATAAAAAAAAAAGAAAACGTGGTCCAAACAGTACTGTGGTACGTAAATCTAGTTGTCAGTAAATGCATTAGGTTTCGCTGCAATAAAAATCAAAATACAGAAATTGATGCTGCCAGAAATCAGTACAAAAAAAGCTCAGTATGTAGTGAGTGACTAGACAAAACACTTCAGGATCTCTTTTCCCTACCTGCTGCTGGAACACCATCCAGTGGCTCCAAGTAGAGAGAGTTGAAGAAGGCTTCAGGGTGCAGTGCTGCTGCTGCTCCAATGCAGCTGACCGCCAAGGCCTTCACGCTCACTCGCACCTCTTTATCAGGAATTAACCCTAAATAAACAAAAAACTAATAATTACATAACAGAAAAGCCAAAAACAGGCACAAACAACAATTGAAACATGTCCAACAGAAGATATAAACTGCTTTATTTCTGCAGATTTGATATACTGCGCATTTACAACCTAAAGCAGAGGTTCTCAAACTGGGGTCCCAGGACCCCCAGGAGTCCGTGAGAGGTATCTTGGGGGTCCTCAAAAAATTTCACTAAGGGTGTATTCAGACCAGGACAGTCCTTTGGTCCAATTGTTTGGTCCGGACCAAAAATGGACTTTTTTTCGTTTGGTGCGGTTTGCATTCACATTGTGCTTTTTTTGCAAACGAACTATAAGTTGTAAACAAAGCCACGAGGCTGACGATCATTGCTCCCATTGGACAAAAAAAGGACGGGGGCGGGACTGAGCCACAGACCCAGAAGAAAACAAGGAAGTCCTGCATGCTGCGGTTCTGATGCGCACATTTTTGCTGATAGTACAACTGCAATAGCATTTAAAATGTCAGAAGCAGCTAATTTAATGGTGGTTCTGTGATGATATTCTAATTTTGGAGCGGCGTCAGTAAATGTGTCCCGCAACCCAAAGGAGACGAGGTGCTCTGCGTGTTCTGACCCACAACATGCCGGCAGTAAAGCTGCTAACAGGAGACGACGAAACAGGTATGTTTTCAGTTTATTTAGCTCRGCAACGGTGGCCTGTGAAGTCCAAAAAGGYGCATGTTTAATGCAGTTGGTTCRGTTAGRGTCCGGTCTGTATKCACACCAGAAGCRAACTGAAGCGAACCGCACCAGAGTTCRTTTGGAARCGRACCGAGACCACCTCAAAATGCAGGTCTCGGTCCGGTTGTTTGATCCGCACCAGAGTTCRCATGAGTGTATTCACACCTGCAGAAAATGTCCGGACCAACGCTGGAAACAAACTCTGGTTCGTTTAAAGCGGAGCAAATTATCAGGTCTGAATACGACCTAAATTGTTAATTTGGTTTTTATTTTTGAAAATGCATGGAGAACAATGAACTAATAAAACAAACATAATACACTAAATAGAAATATTCCCATGGCATTTAGGGGTTGAAATGACAATAAATTAACTTTTAAAACAGCATGGGGTTTATGAGGGGGGTTCCTGGAATTTTTTGGCCCTTGTAAGTGGTCCCCAGACTCAAAGGGCTTGAGAGCCCCTAACCTAAACAGCTACTCACCATTTTTTTGCCCCGTCAGAAGAAACGAAGCAGCAAGAAGTCGGACACAGTGCACTAGTGGCTCCAACTCCTGGTCTGTGTAGTGTCCAATTGGACCCTTTATTCTTGATGGCTGAAATATATTCAGTGAAGAACCACAGAGAGAATTTCATACATTTGAAAATGAATTAATTGATCTCAGGTCTCCAGGATAAAAGCAATATCTAACATTCAAAACTGCCTCAATGGTTCATGTTTTATAACATAACATGGTGACCATGTGACGAAATTTATTGGTTTGTTTACTACTGACTTTTAAAAAGTACTACACGTTTTATAGTCTTTTCTTATGTGAAATATGATATAGTTTTGTAAAACATTGTGTGAATATTTTTGTGATTGAACAGGTGATTTTATGTACAGACTGGTCTGAGTGGCTGTCACAGATGGTTACTCAGAGCAGAAGGTACATATAGATAAGATGAACACATATTCAACACTTAATTGAACTGTGGTTTGTCATTAGTACAGGAAAATTGTATGAAGACCTGACTTTCAGCAACAGGGTGACCCTTTTTGATGATGCAAACAATAGGCGGAGTCAGGTCCTGAAGATGATGGTTATAACGATGTGACTTCCTGATAAACGGCTCTGAACGCACCACTGACAATAAGCTGCCTTCAGACGACCGCTCTGGTGTGGTGTTGTATGGACTCTTTTCACTTTCAAACATTCAACTATTGGTGCGTTGTCTATCTGGTTAGGAACATGCCTAAATTATTGATTATCTTTCACATGCATAAACCGTTCATTTGAGTGAATTCACCTTATTAACAGGTTCAGGTTCAGCAGGTTCATCCTTCGGTATAAGGCGATCCACGCTGCTGTCTGAGCCCTGCCGGTTGTGGCCTTGGCCCTCGAAAAGATGAGGCTTACTCAGAGCTGCGCACATCAGAAATGACGACTTTCAAGAGAACTCATATGTTTAACATCTTTAAGGGTTTATGTCAAGCTTTGGAAACAAACATACCAAGTGCTGACTGCAAGAATGGTTCTGAGGGTTCTTCTTGGGAGGAAGGTGCTGCTCCTTCATCTTCTTCGTCTTGTAGCGTTCCTATCTGCATTCCAGAGTACTGGCTTTCACTGCCATCAAGAACCTTAGTTACACACAAAACAAAAAAACAACCACATAAGAGAATAAAATGTGACAACTTCTGTTGGTTTGAAAAGCAACTGCATGCAAGCTCTACTTCACACTTTTCAACTCGGGAATTTGAATTTGCTAAAGTGATAAGAATAACATAAGAAGTGGATGAACTGTAAATCAAAAACATACACTCTGGTATCACAAGGTTTGCTGAATCATGCTCGGAACAACTCAATTTACAGCAAATCAACAGAACACAAGAGGAAGCAAAGGCTGGACATTTTTTACAGTTATGGTTCCCACATTACACACTAGTTTTGCTCCTATTAGTTCTAGGGAAAAAGTACTTTTATCAAAACATCTCTAAGTTGGTTTAAACGTGACTTAAATGCCACAAAAGTCCCCTTTTGCAGGGATCTTGTTTTATAAACAGAAAACCAAGTTTAATTGAATAATTTAAACACATTTTGCTTTATTTTGCATGTTTGTTTTTCATTGTAAACTACATTTGTTTGTTGAATGTTCAAATGGTAAGCGAACTAAAAACAAATGAAAGATTTTATCTAACTGGGCTGCATCTGCTGGCGACTAGTTGGTGAACAAACAGAATTCATAAAATCTCTACAAAACGTTCACTGTGGGTGTGGCTGCCGAAGTGGGTACAAAGCAAGCTAAAGAAGTTACAATGTGGGCAAAAGGATGTTGTGCACACAGCCTAGAATACAGTTTTATAAGCTGTGAACTAGGGTTGGGCAAAAATCATATCATGTGCAATTAATGGCCAGAAAAACCTCAATCGATTAATGCCACCAGGCAGACTGACTGGAGATTTCTCCTGTCAGTCCTCTACGCTTCAAATACGACAAACATTAAAAAAAAAACATTCTGTAATTTATTTATCAGAACTCCGGTTTTACCTGGCCTATCAACATAATTTAAAAATTGATGTATAGCCTGAAGTCTGTACTTTGTATGCAGTTTGGAACAGATTTTCACAGAGAGCAAATCTTTTCTGCTAGAGTGATTTAAATTGGTCATGTGACTAGGACATGCGGGCGTCAAGTGACTGCAGGGCATTAATCCTTATATTAATCGTTATCGGTTAAATACCACAATTAATTGTTGTTGTTTTTTTTGCCAATATCGCCCAACCCTACTGTGAACATGGACATAAACAGTGATTTTCAAAACATGGCCATACTAAATCACAACAGCACAGTTTGCTGATCACTTGGTTGCAAACACTCAAAATTCTGAAACAGAAACTTAAAATTTGTCTATTTTGTTGTGATTTTAAGTCACTAAGTAGTCTCCAACAGACATAGCTCAGTGTGATACCACCTTTAGGAACACTACGCCTTCATGCTTATTCTTTTAAAACTCAAATCAACACATCAGAACATTTTATAATTACTGTTTTCTGTCCTTCAAAAGCATCTGATTATTGAGGGAAAAACTCATCAAAATCAGGGAAAAGCCACAATCTATCATTCATGACAACAAGAGGGGAAAATATGTCAAAACCCAGGTAAATTGTGCATGGGTCGAGACAAACAAGCCAACGTAAGGAGAAAGAATAAAGAAAGCCAAATCGTTCCAAACAAGCAAGCACCTCCCATTCGGTTCAAAGTGTCCAATTGGCTGACCTTGTCACTAGTGCTAGAAGAGGAGGTGGCATAGAAGGAGGAAGAGGAGGAGAAAGAGAAAGAAGACGACGAGAAAGAAGCGGTGTAGACGGAGGAGTCGCTGTCTGAAGCATCGGGACCCTCTGTGGAAGTTGGTGAGTGTGGGGGCGGCTCGGTCACCTGCTGCAGTGGAGTGCGTGACTGTGACGAAGTGAGCACAAGGATAGAGGAGGGGTGGGGCAAACCGTGAGATTTATTAAACTGGACAAGTTTTTCTGTCATTTGTGGGAAGCAAATAATGCAAACCTGGTATCACAGAGAAGACGGATTTTGGCTCTTAGGGGGGGACACTTTGCCTTAAATAGGCTCATTTGTTATCGATTTTCATGTAACTGATGATGTCCTACACTTTTCCTAACCAAAGTACCGTATTTATTTGTGTATAATACTATCTCATATATAATATGACCCCCCCCCCCCTTTTGAGCTTAAAAAGCATAAAAAATTTAATCCTCGGACTACCTCCAATTTCATACAGACTTCAAGATTTTTTAGCCTTTGCAGTCTTTATACATATCAGTAAAATGATCATTGGACTGTTCATTTTATTTTAACAACATATGTACTAAAAGGTATTTTGACAACAAATATATTTCAGCTGTAGCAGCATCATATGAATTCTGGCATTTTACACATAGTCCACCAGGAGGCGCCCACACAAAAGTCAGAGACTTCACATGAGATTTGGGCCATCTTSTGGGGGAAAAGCAGATTACTTCCTACTCGCGAGCGCCTCCTCTGGTGGGGAAACGTTTTTTCAGGGATACAAACTTTTTCAGAACACCGGTAGACGGCAGCCATTACAGACGAACATGTGTTTGTTGTTGTTCAAGGAGCAGCTCAGTCACACGCTAATGTCATTAGTTCGTTATCATTTCTAAGGTGCAGGAACACTTTCCCCCCCTTTTTTTCACATCATGTCGCCTGTTTGGATCTGTTATTTTCTCACTCTGAAGCACGGAGGAGTGTCAGAGATAAGCTCGTTTCAACTGCTTTTACGATGCGGTCTCATTTCCGGACTCAATTTTGTGAATGAAGCCGATATTTCAGTTAAAATACATAAGTAAAAATATTTATCCGAGTATAATACTATACCCCCCAACTTTATGGATGATTTTATGGATTTAATTTTACATATTATATTTGAATAAATACGGTAGTTGGATTATTATTATTTCCATTTCAACTTATTGGGCTAGGACTGATTTTTCCAAAAGCCTTTTTACTATAAAATATCAGCAGAAACATTAATTGGAGTAATTTAGGGGAGTAATATTTCAGCAATTAGTGTGGGACAAAGTGGTTCATTCCATAAATTCTGGCTTAACAGAAAGTTTCCTTTACATCTTTACAAATTATATAAATTAGTTCTCATCTGTAGAAGAGTCGTCTTCTGTACTTCATACAAACAAAAGTTAGAACGAACAGCATCACACTCACCAGTTCTGCTACATCTGAAGGGGTCACAGCTGAATCTGGTCCCTCTGTGGTTGTCTGAGATGAGTCACTGGGTGGAAGCGAGTGGTCGTTGGGTCCGAGCGGCGCCCCAGCCCCTCCGAGGGGCCCTCCCTCGGGAGTGGCGTTTTCTGGTGTGGTGTAGTCCGCCGTCTCCGGGGTCACGTTGGCCCCACTGGAGCTCCGACTCAGCATTTCCTCCTCGTTGTTATTGGGTGATTCGGGGGTGCCTGATGCAGATGTCCAGTCTGAGGAGGCGCTGAGGTCCACAGAGTCACCGGGCTGTAGAGCGTGCTGGGAAGAGCGTGGCTGCTCGGTGATAATGTCCACCTGGGCGGCAGAGGAGCCATCTGCACAAACACATGGTAGGGTCGAGCAAATTTTGAAAACAAAGGTTTAAAAACCTGATCCCATGACTTTGAAATTGCAACTTGGAGGGAGCACCTCACCTGTAAAGGCTCCAGCAGTCACCTCCGTTTTCTCAGGGTCATCCTCCAAACCATCTTCCTCACCAGAAAGCACCTTACCTGGAAATTACACGTTTAATGTCAAATAAACAAAGTCCGGATTAACACAGGCATAAAGGAACATAAATTACAACTTCAATGGAGCCTTTTTTATTTTCAATTAAGCACAAATATATACATTATTAGAATAATAAACAGAAAGAAATCCAGTGCCTTTACAGATTTAGTTAAACAGTCTAGTTCAGGCATGGGCAATCCTGGTCCTGGAGGGCCGCAGCCCTGCATGTTTTACTTGTTTCTCTGCTCCAACACATCTGATTTGAATGAATAGATGATCATCAGGCTTCTGCAGTACGGAGGACCAAAACTGACATAATTAGAAATAAAAGAATTTTATGAACCACTAAATAAATACACTTAAATGCACCATTTAAATTAATAAATAACTTTATCTCCTGTTTTATATTTTAATTGATTTTCATATTTATTTTTCCAGCTTAGTTCCAATAAATTAGTCTATATATTTGAACACATAATTTAAATTTTACTGTTTTTTAAAATATACATTAAAGGGGTCTTTCTTCTATTATGCAAAATTCACTTTTTTAAAGATTTTTTTACTCAACTTTGGGTATGTACTTCTTTAAAAAAACAGTCCTACAACCAAAAAAAATGCACCCAGGGGCATATTTACTGTAAGTAAATGTATTTTTAATGTACAGTGGTTTGCAAAAGTATTCATACCCCTTGAACTTTTCCATATTTTGTCACATTACAACCACAAACATAAATATATTTCACTGGA